AGATCTTTGTCTCCTTGGCCTCTGGCTGTGGACTGGGGGTTCTAATCGCTGCGTCATGGGGGTCAGCCAGTCTTGTACCGGGACAGGGTCACATTCCAACAGGGAGAACAGCACAGGTAGCTGATCCGGCCTATGCAAAGCGAATGTACGGTTCCCCTTACGGACCAACAGGTGGAATGGATGGCCCCAGCGATAGATTGCGCCAGCGTCCTGCACACACCTGAGGACCGGTCGTAGCTGTCTCCGCATATAGAGCGTGTGGCTAGAGAGGTCAGGTAAGAAGGATATGGACGCACCATCAAAGTCCACCGTCTTCTTAACCCACGCCTGACGCATAATCTCTTCCTTCAACGTAAAGAAATGGATGCGACACAGCACATCTCTGGGTGCGCCATCTCTAGTATTAGCCGGGCCATACACCCTGTGTACTCGGTCTAGTTCCACTGCATGGGTCGGCTCCCTGTCTAGCAGCATGTTCAATATGGCAGTCACTGTAGAGCGTAGATCCGGACCAGTGGTGGCCTCAGGGATACCTCTAATGCGGACGTTGTTCCTGCGGCTTCTATTTTCACCATCATCCACCTTAAGACAGAGGGTAGCCATAGCTTGTAGATGGGCAGCCTGCAGCAGTTCCCTAGAGTCGAATGAGGCCCTGCTGGATTCCAGGGACGCCACTCTCACATCAACCCCCGTTACCTGTTGCCATAGCGCCGTCAGTTCCTGTTTCAGGGAGCCCTCCAGGCGTTCCACCATCATGGCCAGGTCTGCTCTGAGCGTCTCGAATATGCCCCTGAGCTCTTGTCCCGACACCGGGGAGTGGGCCGCCAGCGCGGGCGGGTGATGGGAGCCCTGCGAGACGTCCGGCCTCGTCAGCATAGGGCTGCATGGCGGTGACTCACGTGCCCGTTCATCCGCAGAGGAGGCGGCGTCGTGGCATCCTGAGACGGGGACATCGCAGGGCTGCCGCTGCGGGCCGGAGAGACACATGCGGGCGCCATCTTGGATCCGCCGGCACTCGGCCTCGGGTCTTGCCGAGTAAAGAACCGGTGGAAATCTTGTTTCGGCCCGGTTTTTGGGGTCCCCTTCCCTCTCTTCTTCTTTTTCGTCGACATAGCCCTGAAAAGGGCACTATGCTGACACGCTAGTCTGTAAAATCGGCCGCCGAGGTATGGAGCTCACACGCAGCACGTCCTCACAGATCCATGCCTTGGCCACGCCCCCCCGTACAAAGCTTTTGAAGCAGGACTTTTACCAGCTTAGGCAACAGTGGATTTTTCTAATAAGGTGTAGAATTGTTCAAGCCCAAGATGGTTTTGCCCTGTTGCCACACTGATTTTGTTATCTTGTGTAAGGTAAAAAGATGACATGTGTTGCAGGTCTAAGGGACAGCAAATAAATAAGAGGATGCAGTAGTTTACTAATTATAATAGATGGTGAACCAAAATAGCTAAAATGCTCTCAGCTTACCCATTGTTTCAAAGACAAATATTATGTTAATCATTTCTTATGGAATTGTACTGATGGCTGGCCTTTGGAGGATGCAATAAAACGTTAAAAAAAAAAAAAAAAATGAATGACACCCTTTAATATTCATACATATTTATACCTATTCAAAAGACAGAAGGTGGTTTCCTGGCGGCATGTAGCAGGGTAACCACAGAAGAATATGATGTGCATTTACAAAATTTTTTGGTAGAAGTTGTCATTTGAGTATATGGAAATATCAGGTAAGCTACTATAAGTAACAATAGTTTTTAGTACAGGGTACTTGCATTAAACTAAGCAAATAGATTTACAATAGTATGAATGTAATTAATCATCCTTAATTAAACAATAATATTTATTCTTCAATTTACAATGTCCCTGAAGGTCTATGATTCACTTTTGGAGCTCCTTACATCTTCGGATAACTACGCAAGATACAGGCGCAGGTTTGCATTTTGTGAAGGCTTCCGGTTTCCAGCCCTGGGAGTCCACCTAAAAGACCTCATGGCTCTGCATGTGGCCCTGTCTGACTGGTCTGATAAAGCCAGAGGTGTCATAAATATCTCCAAGATGCGCCAGGTCTATAAAGTTGTTCATGAACTGACAGAAGCCCAGAGACTTGAACCTTCAGTGAAAGCCAACCCTGACTTACTAAACTTGTTAACGGTGAGATAAATGCAATAGTGAAATGAAAACGGACAGCAGTAAAATATAAGATTATTGTGTAGAAAAATATTTTGCACCTTGAAAAGATCTGTGGTGTATGAAACAAAAAAATAAGCAGAAACAAGTGTAAGTTATGCACTAGCATCCTATTGATGAAAATGGCTTTATTCCACAAAACTTTTATTCTTGAAATTAAACTAAATAAATTAAAAAGTGGTCCCCACATATACCCTTTTTCAGTTTATTTTAAATATATATCAAACTGCTAGTGGTGGGAAGACCTAATTATGAGACCTGACTGTCTTTGCTGCACTTCCTCTGAAAAGAACTGTCTGGCTGTTATGCTGATCTTCTTCTAACCTTATCTGTCTTCGATGTCTTTTGGGTCTCTGACTTCACTTGCTTGCTTCTGTAATTGTGTGACACAGAATTACAGAAGCAAGAAACAACCAAGAACCTACTGGTTAACAAATGTCAATCCCTATATTTCTTACATAATAGGTGTCTTAGGTTTTTGGGGAGTAAAATCTATAGGGATGACTTGTTATATATTATTGTTAGTAAAGAGGGACAATTTAAAGGTATGAAGGAATGATAGGTTTTGTATATCTGTTAAAAAATACACATTGAGCATGACATGTTACTGGAAACTTGCCTACATCTTATCTGCAACATGTCTGACTCTAGAGCACATTATACCTGGAACTCCATTCCATCTCCTACTAAGCAGTGTTCATACAAAAAACATTGTTCCCATACTCAGCTCAACACCCCACTGTCTCTAGAAATGTCCACGTACCATGATTCTTGGCTTAGCAGCAGGTAGTCCCTGGAAAATCTCAATTCACAATTCAGCTGTATTTTTCTTCATCGAACAGTCCTCTGCAAATGCCACTGAACTCCCCTTTCCAGCTCAGCATTGCAACGTCAATCCCTCATAAGTGAGAAAAGTATAAACATATTGTTATTATATTACATAGTGCAGCAGATATATATTCACTTAAAACTAATACCAAATGCAGGGCCCTGCATAATTTATTGCAATAATATGTTGTATGCAGTATCCATATTTTATTACACAAATTCTTTATTACATATTAAGATTAACTATAATGAACATAAATGTCTGCTGTCTGTGATTTCGCCTCTTTCATTAAGGCTGACCTCTTAAAAGGGCTGTTCAGTCCTTTGGCATTGATGGATATCACCTTAGTAGGAATGGATCTGAATGAATGCCAATTCTTTAGCAGCTAACATCAAGCTTGTGAGACTGTGTGTGCAGGATGAAGTAAAAGAATGATGGAATCCAGAATATAAACACAAAGTATAAAAACACTTCAGGTAATAACCCTGATAAACATGTTCAGCCTCTGCTACAGACATCGGGGAAGGAAAAAAAAAAACCCGACAGCGTCCGAAACCACAGTGAATAAAAGAATATCAGGACTGTTAATAAGCCCTTATTTCTGGCCCTTATGAAAGAAAGCACTTATCTGATGAGTTGGCTTCATGTCATTTCTTTGCGATCCTTCCTGGAAGACGAACCTTGGCGTTCAGAAGTAGCACCTGTAGTGTGTCCGGCCGCCGATCGTAATGGCCACAATGTGAGTGAGCTCCGTGCTCGGTAGCTCTGTCAGCAACAAATTGCACTGCAGCATACAGCCTCTCTCACCTGATAGCAGGTCCGGTTCCTCTCTCCCCACTCCGTGACAGCTGTCATCATGTCAAAACAGGGGAAAAAACATCAGAAGCCCCAAAAGTTGTCAGACACCTTCCCGGCCGCTGAGGCAAGGGGAAACAAAGATGGTGCCGGCTACATGCGGTCTCCGCCTGCCCGATCGAGGTCTCCCTTATCTGACGGCTTGATCGCAGACTGTAATCCATCAGCCTCAAATTCATCACAGGCACAGCAGGGTGAGTCATCTCCCCCAGACTCTCCCACCACACGCAGCCCAGCTAAAACTAAGCGTCCTAAAGGATATAATCTTCCTCTCCACACTCCTCACTGCCCGCTTCATCACCCCATGCACTCTCCATGTCCCTTGAGGTATATCCCTTCACTGCTGATCCAGCATCCTCAGCAGATATGAAATGCTTCTCTCCCTGCGCTCCACTCTGGAGAAGGATATCTCCTCTATGTTTGACAAGCTATCTCTCTCTATGCAACAGCTCTCTACAAGAGTCTCTCATGTTGAAACTAGATTAGGCGACTTATCTCACAGTCATAACGTCTTAGTGGATCACCATGATTCTCAGGCCCCTGATATACAATGGCTTAAATTAAAGTGTGCGGACCTAGAAGATTGGTCACGCCGTAAGAACATCAAGTTTAGGGGGATACCTGAAACGGTCACCCCGCAGCAACTGCCGAGTTGTATCATTCAGATCCTCAAAGAGTTCCTTCCTGATGCTAATGTTACTGACCTCCTTATTGACCGTGCTCACAGAATAGTCAAACTGTCCTTCCTGCCTGATAACGTGCCCAGGGACGTATTAGCTCAAATACACTTCAACCATATAAAGGAGAAAGCCATGGCTGTGGCAAAATCGCCTAACTATCTCCCCACAACTTCAAGGGGTTACGCTTTTTGCAGATCTTTCTCAACTTACTCTTATGAATCATTGAAAGCTGACTTCCCTGACGACAACTTTGCGTCAACATCGTATCATCTACAAATGGGGTTTCCCCACCCAGCTCCTGATCACACATAATGGAAAGATCTTCCCGATATCCTCCCTGGAAGCAGGCTAAAAGCTTCTCTCCGATTGGAACATCCCTCTTCCGCCTGAGATGGCCCAGAATCCGGCCGAAACCAGAAAGATCCCTCGGGACTGGACCTGAAGGACTCATCTACACCCTCCAGAGAGGGTCTTTTACCATATTCCTTTCTTTATAGGGCTCCTGGTACCTCCATCCTTGCATCATGCTCACAGTAAGTTCTTCTGTTGACTTATTTTTTTTTGGGCATCACCTATTATTATTATTACATAGTCCCCAACAGTTTGCGCAGCGCTTTACAATATAAGGAAGACATTACAGTTACAATACAATTCAAGACAAGATGGTAAGTAGGGCCCTGCCCCTGAGGGCTTACAATCTAAAAGTGGAGGGGGAAATGATACATGAGGTAGCTGTGGGAATGAATTATGTGAGAATGTGAAGGTTCAGGGGTTAGGTTGAGGTGGTATAGGCTTCCCTGAAGAGATGAGTCTTTAGGGAACGCCTAAAGGCAGTCAAGGTGGGAGATAGACGGACAGGTTGGGGTAAGGAGTTCCAGAGGATGGGAGAGAATCTAGAGAAGTCCTGGAGGCGAGTATGGGAGGAGTGGACAAGGGAGCTGGAAAGCAGAGGTTAGGTTAAGAAATTGAGTGGGAGCTGGGGAGTTAATGTTAGTAGCAATGTTAAAGTCACCAAGAATGCCAAATAGTGGGTATTTCTGAGGAGAGAAAGTAGGGTAGCCAGGCAGAGAAGTCATCTAGAAAGCGAGATACTGGTCCGGGTGGCTGGTATATATAACAGCAAACCTATTTCCCTCATCCTCTTTAGTAGCTAATGCTACCCATGATTGTCGGCCTTTTTTGCCGACCGGTTTTCATTATGTATGTTTTATTTTGTTGTTCTCTGTATTTTGCTTATTTTTTTCAAAACTGGTCACACACGATGATTCTCGTCCATCTTCATGCTACATATGCGCCCTTTCCCATGCTCCTTCTGTTGCACCTGATCCAGCACAGTGGGCCACTTCCATCTTCTCATCTTAGATCCACTCCTACCCCATTGAGCATTTTCCTAAGTATTGATGTCGGTTAAGTTTACATCCATCAACGCCAAGGGTCTAAACAGTCTCCAGAAGAGATATAACTTACTGCAGGAAGCTAGGAAACTCTGTAGTGAAGTCTTACTAGTACAAGAAACCCATTTTGCCAAATCTAAGAATCCTAACTTCAAATACAAAGATTTTAGACACATCTTTCTTGCCAGTGCGAAGAAAAAAGCCGGATTACTTATTGCTGTGCACTCCTTAGTAGCTTTTTGCCTGAATGATTGTATTGTTGACCCTAATGGGCACTTTCTTATCTTGAAATGTGATGCACAGTTGTTTACCATAGTTAACCTGTATGCCCCAAATGTCGGACAGCTCAAATTTCTGAAAAAATTACTTAAACTTGTTGACTCACATAAATCGGGTACACTCCTAATAGGAGGTGACTTTTAATGCAGTTCACGACAACATCTTGGACTCCTCTACCACAGGTAAATCTTCTCATACTAACATTGGTGATTTTTTTCTTTCAAAAGGGTCTGTCCGACATTTGGAGGTGCCAACATGGCGACGAATGTGATTACACGTTCTTTCCCCATGTGCATCACTCCTACTCACATATAGATTTGTTCTTTACTAACGCTTTCTCCCTACCTTTGGTTACATCCTCGGATACAGGCTTGATCACCTGGTCTGACCACACCCCTATCTCTGTCAGTGTCCTGGATCGCACCACTACTGCGGGCTCAAGACTCTGGAGGCTCAACACCCTCCTTCTAGCTAATCTGACCTATGCTTCGCAAATTGCGAAAGGAACAAAAACTGTTCTTTGATATCAATCACACTCCTGACACTGACAGGTATACACTGTGGAACGCCCACAAGGCTTATATAAGAGGGATTTGCATTAAATTAAGTACATATGTTAAAAAATCCAAGTTCCAGAAGTAGCACGGGTAGAAAGTCCCCACTGCTGAAGAAGGTGAGGAAATAGAGTGCCACTTGCCTTGAAAAGAAAGTAAGAGTTTAGTCGGGTAACCCCACTTTTAAGGGATGTTGTGCTTCTTGAGGGCAGAAGTGATTGGTGCCAAGTTCTTCCTATTCAGTATGGTGTGTTGAGAGAGCTCAGCGTAGAGAGTAATGACTGAGAATTGTGGGGACAGCTTAGCATTATTCCGTGGTGCTTGCATAGCTTTTCCTTAGCATTCAAAAAATTGATTCTTGCCAAGATATCTC